TTTTTAATTAATTAATTTATTTAATTTACATCCGTGTTGAAGCCATCCTTTCCTCCACACTGCGCTCCCCTTTCTCCTGAGAGGAAGAGAGGCCTTACATATATGCAGTATGTAGACTCTCCTTGGCATAGCAAGGTGGAGCAGAATGAGGCACATCATCCCCTATTGAGGCTAGGCGCGGCAACCCAGTTAGGGGAAAGGGACCCAAAGGCAGGCCACAGAGTCAGAGACATCCCTTGCTCCTGCTGTTAGAGATCCCACATGAAGAGCCAGATGCACACCTGTTACATAGCTCACATTTCTTTTTTAGGGCTAAAACAGATTTCTTATTGGAGAGAGGCAGCCAGGAGGCTTCTCTCCTCGCTGTTACTGGCTGTGCTTCAGAACCCCTTTATACGCTGCCAAATGAGCACATAATATGCATTATTCTGTGCTGGGAGTGAATTCGTGGCTAACAAAAGTAGACAAAGCATGCTGGGCTGATAACATAACAAAAATAATGTGAAAGGGGCAGTAAGTGAAAAAAAGATAATGGGACACAGCTATTTTAAGGGAGAGGTCACACAAATACCTTCAGGACTTCGCTTTGATCCAAAAACTCATCCTCCAAAGAAATCACTTGTCTAAGAGGCATGTTCTGCTGGCATTGTGATGCTTTCTTCCACTTTCCAAATTTAGGAGTTAAATACTACATGATCCACTGTGAAGATTTTTAGGTGGTACCACACTGAGCACTAAGATTTATTTCAAAATTCTATATGAGGTTAATAGGAGATCTGTCTGTTAATAAATATAAGCTTTATTTCAGAATAATAACTTTCTCCTCACAGTTAGTAGAGAATTGACTTAATAGGGTTTTTGTGTTTAGCGTTGGGCCTGTGAGAATCCTTGATTCCAGTTAGACAGTTAACATGAAATTTGAAATTGTTTTTTAAAATTTTCTTGATGATATCCTGCCATCTATTTCACCTATGCTTTTCACTCTGGCTTTCTGGGCTTTTTGTTTTTAGAATTTCTTACAGTAATTTAGTACTTTTGCATACATTAAGAGAAGAAACTAACCATGGGATGTGGAAGTTTCTATTTTAGAGGATCCATGTGGAAACAAATTAAAGCAAATGTGAGCTTGCTGAGCATTGTACAGCACATTTTTCTGTTAGCACATTTTTCTTCTCCACCCTGACAGCTGAGCTAAAGGTGTCAATCACCTGGAAATGTATTGTCAGTGTGAAAATACACAAATGTATCTCATCCCACAATCTGACTACAATGGACTCTGTTGCCCGATTTTTGAACACTTCCCCCTGACAGGACTGCCTTTCTAGGTCACAGGGGAAGAGGACCAACTCAGTCCTCAGCCCTCATGCCACTTGATAAGCTGGTGTGGGTGGGGAGGGGAGCTCCCCTTTCCTGAGGATTAGCTGGGAGGAGAGAAGGGAGGGGGCTACGGCTGGGATGGAAAGTGAATTAATTAATTACTTAATTAATTAATTAAGAACAAAGCAAAACAATGGATCCAAGAATCGGAGTGCCTGAATTCAAGATTTTTCAAGGTATGTTCTTGTTGACTCTTCCATAGTATTCTTGAATTCTGTCCCGGCTGCAATGATACTCCAAGTAAACATTAAGATTGCCGGAGTCTGGAGGACAGCAACGAAGACTCAGGTTATCCTTTATTGCATTTGGTTTTAACTGTAAACGGTTGACACCCTCACCGAGTCCAGCCCTGAAACCCTAGCCTGTCCCTCAGATTTGCTAGACTTTATTTTTAGATGTAATCACTTCCCGCTGGTAAACGGTTAGTGACCACACACACAGGTCTGCACATGAGGAAACTAAAAAGGGAGCCCAGCACCGTGAATCAGACACACAAGACAGGACTCAAGAAGAATCTCCTGCCAGGCCAGGCCTGGTGTGTCATAGTCTCCAACCGTTCCTCTGGTGGTGCTGTGACGAGTCTCAATTAATACAAATGATACTTGAGATGAGACAATTTCCGTGGCATGCTCAGAATATGCTTCTTGTTCTACAGGCACCCTCTACCAAATTGCTTGAGAAAACTCAGTGTTTCCTTTATAAATTTCCTTCAGAGCTATGTGTTTTGTGAATCTTATTGTAATCAACGTTCTTAGAAAAAAATATCCTTCAAAAAAACTAATTCGGTAAGATACTTGGGGCTAGAATAACATTTGGATAGTTATTTATACAATATAACTTGATCAAAGAACTGTGGTAATCAACATAGAAAATAAATATTCAGAGTAATTCCAAAAGTTTGATTACTCAAAATGACTGGGTTTTAAGGATATTGGGTAGACAATTGCCTTTTGACTAATAACTCTTTCCTCAAGACTATGACTACAGAATATTGTTAATATGTTAATAAAATATTTAAAATTTCATGGGAATTGTTTTAGGAAATGGGCTTCCTGTAAAATTTGTAGCAATACTCAAGAGGTACAAAGATTTGTTAAATGTTTATAAGTGACAATTTTTATTTGGTGTCTGCATAAACTCAAAAGCCTTATTAAGAGGGAGTTTATGCCTATTCATTAAAATTATTAGAAGAATATACGCAGTAAGATTCTTTTGCCCGAAGAAAACAGGAAACAAGCTAGGAACCTGCCACAGAGGGCCTCTGAAAGGCTCTGCCCTGCAGACTATCAAAGCAGACACTGAGACTTATGGCCAACTGTTGGGCCACGTGCAGGGAATTTTATGTAAGAAGTGGGAAAAAGTAAGATTTGTAGAGGACAGGAATTCCACAAGGAGAGCAACAGAACCAGAAAATTTTAACACGTGTCTTTCTAGAGAGTCATACTCCAAGCACGTACCATGCATGGAGATAACCTAGGACCCCCACACAGATGTAGCCCTTGGCAATTTAGTGTCCAAGTGGGTTACATAGTAATGGGAAGAGGAACTGCCTCTGACATAATCTGATTGGCCAGCTCTTTGATCATCTCCCCCTGAGTGGGGAGCAGCCTTACCAGGCCACAGCAGATGACAATACAGCCACTCCTGATGAGATCTGATAGACTAAGATCAGAAGAAAGTAGAGGAGGACCTCCCCTATCAGTGGACTTGGGGAGGGGCATGCTTGAAGAAGGGGGAGGGAGGTTAGGATTGGGAGGGGAGGAGGGAGGAACTTATGGGGGTATACAAAGTGAATAAAGTATAATTAATAAAAAGAAAAGAAAAGAAAAAAGATTCTTTTGCTCAACCATGTTCAGAGCACCTTTATTTGTAATAGCCAGAATCTGGAAACAACCCAGATGTCCCTCAATGGAGGAATGGGTACAGAAATTGTGGTACATTTACACAATGGAACACTACTCAGCAATTAAAAACAAGGAAATCATGAAACTTGCAGGCAAATGGTGGGAAAAAGAAAAGATTATCCTGAGTGAGGTATCCCAGAAGCAAAAAGACACACATGGTATATACTTACTTATAAGTGAATACTAAACATATAATATAGGATAAACATACTAAAATCTGTACACCTAGAGAAGCTAAGCAAGAAGGAGGACCGTGGGTTAGATGATCAACCCTCACTTAGAAAGACAAATGGGATGGACATCGAAAGAGGGAGAAAACAGGGAAGAGGTTAGGAGCCTACCACAAAGGGGCTCTGAAAGACTCTACCTAGCAGGTATTAAAGCAGATGCTGAGACTCATACCAAACTTGGGGCAGAGTGCAGAAAATCCTATGAAAGAAGAGGGAGATAGAAAGACCTAGAGGGGACAGGAGCTCCACAAGGAGAGAAACCAAACCAAGAAACCTGGGCACAGGGGTTCTTTCTGAGACTGATACTCCAACCAAGGACCATGCATGGAGATAACCTAGAACCCCTGCACAGATGTAGCCCATTGCAGCTCAGTATCCAAGTGGGTTTCCTAGTAAGGGGAACAGGGACTGTCTCTGACAAGAACTCAATGGCTGGCTCTTTGATCACCTCCCCCTGAGGGGGGAGCAAGCCTACCAGGCCACAGAGGAAGACAATGAAGCCAGTCCTGATGAGCCCTGATAGGGTAGGATCAGATGGAAGGGGAGGAGGACCTCCCCTATCAGTGGACTTGGAGAGGGGTATGGGAGGAGATGGGGGAGCGAGAGTGGAATTGGGAGAGAATGAGGGAGGAGGCTACAGCTGGGATACAAAGTGAATAAATTTTGATTAGTAAACAAAAATAAAATAAAAAAGATTCTGTCTCTAGATACATCACCATGTGTGATTATCATCAGAATACATCTCTCCTTCACTCCCTTCCTCTCTCTCTCTTTTTCTGTTTCTCTTTGTCACTCTCAGGAAATGGCTTCTCCAATATATTCACTTGAACTTTGCAACATGAAGTATGTGTAAGTTAATAATCTTCACAGGCACAATTAATTTTAAAAGTCAGTGATAAATACAAATTCTCCAAATTGCTAGACAGCCCTTTGGAATATTTAGGAGAAGATTCAGAAATTTAATAATTGAAAACAAATATTATCTATTTTATTGGGTACTGTAAAAATGTGTTCACCTTATCTGAGGTATTTCCCTCACCTGAGACACCACACAACTGACATATAATTAAACCCTATTTCTTCTTACACTTCAGAGTCTATTTTTTACTTTTTCTTAATTTAATTTCCTTGTTAATCCTAATTAGTGCTGAGCTCTGAGACTTATAACTTGAACAAATATTAAAGGCTAAAATGCAAGATAATATCAGATATATGAACAGAGACATAGATGCATATAGATGCATATTCATAAGTTTCCATTGCAGAACAAGTTAAACAACATACAGTGGAAAAATGTGGAAGTTTGCCATGGCTATATGAAGGTGTACAAAAAGGTCAATGGTTGAAAACACTGATTTCTCTAATCTACATCAGTAGATCTAATCTGCAGTCTTTCCAACCTTAACAAGATTTGCCTTAATGGATTTTTTAAATGATTTAAGAACTACAAATAACAGTTATCAATCAGGTAGAGAGGTGACCCACATACCTGGCTTGTCCCTGACTGTCACACAAGTGAAAGCAGGAAGCAGGAACATTGCTGCCCAAGTCCACAGTTTCCAAGAGCTGGTGTGCCTCATTGTGCCTTGAAACCATGGGGACAAATGGCCACAGATCTGCAATGGCAGAAGCATTCAAGTTGAGATTTTGTATTCTGCTCCATTACATTCACAAAATCATCACGACCAAAGAGAGTGCAATCGGTTTCAATGTATCATAAAATTACATATTAGCGTACACAATGCTCTAACATGCACCTGAGTATTTTAATACATTAATCTTTCTGAGTGCTGGGAAATATTTCAAGACTCTTTTCTTAGTCAATTATTCATTAATTACTCATGAACACAAATTCTTATCCTTTAAATTTTCCAACCTTTTCAGTGGCTTTAAAGCTATACCACAGAAATGATTGGGTTTATTTATTTTTTTATTTTAAAAATTGTGGTAAAGTATATAATAATATAAAATTTGTATTTTGACCAGTGTTAGGTATGCATGTCAGTGGAATTAAGTTCATTTCCACTGCTTTGCAATCCCTGCTCTTGATCTAGTTCCACAATTCTTGTCATGGTACAGAACTGATTATCTGCGCCTGTTAAACAAACTTTCCATGCCATTGTCTGCAAACCCACAATTATCATTCTATTCACCTGCTACAAGGTACTAGAGTACCTTCAATAAGCAGAATCATCCACCTTTGTCTCCTTTATTTGATGATTATATTTTACTTAATATAGTATCGTGTGTGTGTGTGTGTGTGTGTGTGTGTGTGTGTGTGTGTGTGTGCGCGCGAGTATGTGCGTGCCACACCCAATTTTTTATGTGTGGGTTCCGGGAACTGAACTCTGGTCTTGGTGTTTGTGTATCAAGCACTTTACTGACCAAACCATTTTGCTACCAATAGCATAAGATCCTAAAAGTTCATTAGCGTCGTGACATATGTCAGAATTTTCTCTTGTTTAGGGGTGCTAGATGATACTTCACCATTTGCAAATGCCTGCTTTGCTCATCATCCATCAATGGACACCTTTGGCTGTTGTGCACACTTGTTATAAGCTCAGATGTACAAGCAGCAATCTGAGTCTCCCTTACAATTCTCTTGGGTATATGCTCAAAGAAGGAAGTGCCGGGCAGACCATATGGTTCTCATATTTTTAATTTCCTTAGGAACCACTGCGCTGTTTTTCTCTAACGCCCACGCCGTTCACATTCCCATTAGTGAGGCACAGGTGTGCTGATTTCCCCACACTCTCCTCTGCATTTACTATTTTCTCTCTGGTTGCTAGATGCCACACTATCAGCGTGAGAGGGCGGCTCACTGTGGTTTTGATTTTCCTGAGTATTAGTGATATTAAACGTGTTTCATGTACCTCATGGACATTTGTGTTTCTTAGAGAAATGATATTCAGGATGCTCTCTCTGATTTTTTTTAAATACAGTTAGCTGTTGTTATGTTGTATTTCCATATAGTCTGCATTTTAACCCTTTATCAGCTTATAATTTACAAAATTTCCCTCATATGAAATAGAGACCATTGGGTTTCCATTTCAGTGTGCTGACTATATTCATTAACACAGATTTTTAAATATAGTTTATTGTGTTTTCTCATTTATTTGGTATATACATTTGGTATCAAATACCATGATTCAGAATTTTAGACATGATTGTATCATTCACGGTTCTGTTTGGTAATATCATATTTACATATTATGGCTTAATCAACATTGTCATATTTTACACGAACTCCTTGGTTATTGGATTGAGTTCCACTTGTAAAATTACAACTGCACACATACAACCATCATTCTCTTTAAAAGGAAACCAATACATGCAATACTTATTGTATATTTTATAATATTCTGTTAACGTCATTGCCTTTATGAATTTATATTCCTACTCTATAAGTGTTACAATGAAAGATTCAGCAGATAAAATCTCTAGGGGGACTACAGAGCTGATTCGGTGGTTAAGAGTGCTGGCTACTCTTCCAGAGGATCCAGCTTTGAGTTTCACCACCTACAAGGCCGCCCACATTGATCTTTAACTCCAATCCCACGTGATCTGAAGCCCTATTTTTTGTCCCCATGGGCATCAGGCACAAACATGCTTTGCAGACATCAATGTAAGCAAAACATCCACACACATACAAAATAATACAAATAAAGTATAACATTTTAGATCGCTATAACAAAAAGTTGAACATTGTTTAAATTAACTTTACTATAGTGAATTCGCTAAGATGAAAATAATTTTCATGGAAAAATATATCAGATCCTTCAATTAATTAAAAAAGATAAGTTTATTAGAAATAGTTATTCAAGAGTCATAAATCACTTATTTATCACTATCCACAGTTTAATGATGAGCCAAATGTGAAAGAGCTCATCACACAATTGTTTAACTTTTATCAATAGACTCTCTTTAGAGAAAAATAAGTCCACCATCTTTGATAGTCTAAATACATATGGCAAATATTCAGTTCAGCATTTTAAAATTAATTCAAAGTTTAGATATTTCTGGATGAATAGTTAGAGGCAGCAACGGCGGTGTTAAATTTGTATGTGTGGTTCTAGCTATGAGACATCTGGTCTTATGTCTTGTTTATTTTGAATTCTAGGTATAAACATAGTCGTGATCCTTACACGACCCTGTAAATTGATCACAGCTATTATTTCATGTCTGTTAGTAACTCCTTAAATAAATTCTAGTTTAAGTAAATTCTATATCAAAAATTGATCCAGTTTTCAGAGAGATTTGTAATGGTGTTTTATCTGAGATGACTTCTCTCAGTTGATCAATTGGCTATAAAACATAACAGTTAAAATCTTGGCTTCCTGTGTGACTGCTTCCACTTGTGTGCAAGTTATGGAACATCCTGCAAGTCAGGAGCACTGACATCTTATTTAATGTGTGGGGTGGCATTACATACTCTAAAGGCGTCTGCTGTTATATAAGCTATAGAATGGTTAGTCTAATTTCCAGTTACACTTGTCTCTTCCACTCGGGTTTGTTTGGTATCTGAAAAGTAAAAGTGCCAAATGGTTTTAGGAATTCATTTTCATCAAAACTTTGGCTCCCGTTCCAGCGACAAAGAACTGCACAGCTCTAAAGTCAGTCTTGACATATCAATTCATTCTTGACATCTCCCAACACCCAACAATTTTCATGAGCCACTCGGATAATGAATGATTTAGCTTTAACCTTACTATCAAAGTATTTTAAGGATAAGATTAGTTGATCAAATGTTTCAGCACTTGAACCTCCTACCACTATCTTTCCGAGAGATCAGCAGAAACTTAAACATGAATCTGTTTCATTCCCCTTTCTAACTCAATCGCTTCTGGAATTTCTAGTAGTCGAGCTTTCCTCCTGTAAACACTCACTTGGTCCCTTCACATTAGCTAGAATCCCTTTTCATCTTCCTCTAGATCCATTGTTTCCTACTTTACTTTGTCTGTCTGTCTGTCTATCTGAGATCTAATGTGAGCATTTCCTATTATACCTCTATATCATTTATATATCTATCATTTATCTATCAATCTAGCTAGATAGCTACCTATCTATAATCTATTATCTATCTGTTATCTATACATCTATTGATAGACCATTTGGTCTATCTATTTATCCATCCATCTTATTTATCTCTCTTCTATCCAGTTGTATACCTCATTTCCATTTTCTACTTCTTCATTTCACTAGTAGTATTTTCTAGGTTTTTTTTTTTTTTAAGTTATGTTGGACGTATTATGTTGGGGTTGGTCCTAAATAAAACTTCCATGGACAGAAATTCCCTGTGGCTTTCTGAGTTGGTCCTTTCCCTCTTCCCTGTCACTGTCCTCAGACACTGGCTGAGCTCAGGCAACTGGATGATCCCCAGGTTTATGACCATTTTCCTCCTTGGATTTCTTACTTCCTGGCTTTAACTGAAACCCCCTATCAGAATGTGGCAGTTTTCTATCCTGTCCCCTCAGGGCTCAGTAAGGTTGTTATCAAGATAGCTTTATAAATTAATTCAAGCCAGTGTTAGCACAACTTACTGTATTGTTCTTCACAGCCGAAGTTAAGCTTTCAGGCAGAACCCACCCCCATGCCTTCCCAGTTCACTGTCTAATATGGAGCCAGCAGATGATGTGTACAGAACACTGAAGTTTCTTGAATTTCTCCCCAAATTCCTTTCTGGCAAACCTGTACAAAGATGCCTACAGTGCATTTTAAATAAATGTGTAGAAAATATTGTTTCTATGTGGTCTCATTTTCTAAACAAAAACATAGTTTATATATAGTAGTTATTTTAATATTCATATCTCAGATGTAAACTATGCCTGTTTCTAACATTAACATGGTACAGAGCAGGAATGCCATTTAACATATAGCTAAATATTTGAAAACATTTTTAAAGACTAGGGACATTGATTTAAAAAACACACATTTTCTCCTTTTACCCAAGCATCTTGGGGTGGTAAGATGAAGAAAGATGGGGAGTTAGACTGATGAGGAAAGGATAGGAGCTCCACAAGGACCAAAGATATCTGGGCACAGGGTCTTTTCTGAGACTGACATGCAACCAAGGACCATGTATGAATGTAACCTAGAACCTCTGCTCAGATGTAGCCTATGGTAGCTCAGTAACCAATTGGTTTCCCATAGTGAGGGGAACAAGGACTATTTCTAACAGGAACTCAATGACTGGCTCTTTGGCCTCCCCACCCCCCAAGGGAGGAGCAGTCCTGTTAGGCCACAGAGGAGAGCTTTGCAGCCAGTCCTGAGGATACCTGATAAAACAGGATCAGATAAATGGGGAGGAGGTCCCCCCCTATCAGTGGACTTGGCAAGGGGCACGGTGGAGAGGAGGAAGGGAGGGAGGGACTGGGAGGGAATGAGGGATCGGGACACGGCTGGGGTACATAGTTAATAAAATGTAACTGATAAGAAAAAAAATAAAATACGAAAAAAAAAAAAGATGGTTTAGTAAGGGCAATTACAGTCAAGCCTCAGGAATTAAGGATTGCTCCCAGAACCCACAATGTGAAAGAAAGAAGATCAGACTCTCTTGCCTAGGCCCTATGACTTGTAGTGA